TAATACCTTAGTTTTTATCTGTCAGAAGGATGGAAAGCATTTTGGATTGTCTGGTAATGTAAAATGATGTAAAGTTCTGTTAACACACAACCTTTGAAGTCATTTGTAAGAAGTGCAATGTAAGTTTTCCATTGAAATCAAGGTTTAAATATGAAATTACTTTCTAAATATGAAATGCATGTTAATGAAAGTAAATTTCAAAGCCACTGTCAAACTCCAAAAACTGATTTATGCATTATATTCAAAGTCTTCTGAAACCATTTAGTAGCTTTGTGTGAAAAACCTGTAGATGCATTGAGCCATGTCTGACATCAATGACGCCAAATTATAATTTACATTGTTTTCTTAATTATTTACAGTCATGTATCAAAGTCTGATGTTTGTTTTTGAATTGCCTGATAAAAGCTCTACATAGCCTGCTCTACATATCAAAGAGAAAAGATACATTGATCAAATGTTTTAACGGATGTATTTTTTATCTTACAGGCGCAGTGCTCAGTAAGCGCTTTTTTTTTAGTTTACTGATGGTTATCTATTGACTTTAATTTTAGGGATTCCTAGTGAGCCCTTTCATGCAATATTTCCTTTTGCTTTGTGAACGAATGTAGATATTGTGAAACTGAATAAATCTACAGACAACAGAAGTTTCTTAATGATCAAAAAAGCCTATTTTAAACCTAACTCTGGGCTTTAAACAGCAAATAGAAGTGATGTAAGCCAAATAAACACAGCGGTTTGGTTTGTTCATCATCAGTATTGCTCTGTCACAATACCTGATCATTTTCCTTTAGCGTAGGTAGTGTTAAAGGCTGCGTATTAGGGTTGTGCGATATTTATCGTCTACGATAATATCATTATTCTTGGTTTAACGATATGCAAGCGTACTTCAAATTAGCATACAAATTTAAACCAGGACAGATGGATTTGTCACATTCCAGTCGACATCTTCCTCCGAGATTGGCTTGGCTAACACTGTGCGATGAAGATAAGACACCTGTCTCTGCTTCATTCAGGACAACAGGTGGAGGACAACATGGAAAGAGAGGCAGGGAAATGCTAAGTTGCCCACAAAAATACAATTTCAACTGTAGGAAGCATCCTCAGAGTGCTGCACGTGCTCCTGTAGGCCCATGCATCGCTTGATTGACATTTTTGTCACTGCCGTGTTTGTGGAAGTTGGGTACATTTGCAAGAAACAATGCATGTGTCTACAGGCTGTTGTTGCTCCCAGCTAACTTAAGGTCGCTTTTGAAGTTTGCGCATCTCGCTCACGTGTCACCTTGCAAGTGGCTCATCCCCTCTCCTCGCACATAACTGTGCTGTATAATGCCATAGGTGAAAAATGGATTTGGTCTTCATCTACGACTAATGGATTAATATGGAAATAGAACAAAAAGACCCCCTGGGTGCCGTGTTCTCTCTTATCGAAAGTGCAGCAAAACACAACAATGAAACTTTAAAGTCTCAGGGCCAAGGGGAAAGGCATTGCCGTGGATTAATAAGACACTGCCTTCTGTACGTCTCAGGAAAAATGGTGAAACAAATACCCGTGCTCTTTCAGAAGACGCTGAAAATGAGGCATTAAGCTATTTTTCCTTATCTGTCAGGAGCTCCAAGTGATGCTTTCGTTTTATGATAGCACTACTAAAATACAGCGAAAACGCAATGGCAAAGAAACAACAATGAAACTTTTGACCACCGGCAGTCGGATGCACCCGTACAGGGGACCTTAGCTGACCGGGGCCTGAAGGAAGCCACTACTTTCAAGGATGCCCAGCTCAGCTCTACAATTTCTGTTGGTTTCACGCTTCAGCAAACTCAACAGGACGACAGTTGAGGAACTAGCCTACAGAACTAGAGTTGGAGAAGTTGTTTGCTATCCCTATAAAAATTATTTCATGTTTTATTGAATATTTCGGTTCGCTTTTTTCTTTTTTGATACTGATAAACCAAAAAGTGAGAAAAAAAGTCTACAAATTGGTACAAAAATGCATTGCACTTATTAAAGCAAATTAAATATTTAAGTACTTACCCACTTGAAGTTGGATTTGTGCAAAGTTTCGAATTTTGAATACAGGCTTGTTTTTTGTTTTTTCAATTGATGACTTTGAATTTGAATTACCATTTAATCAGAATTTGGAGGAATGCACTGAATTGCACTGGGGTTCTGAAAGTTTTTTGTTTTGTTTTTTCCCACAGGGAATTTAAAAGTCTTCGTTAAAACATTTTAAGCCACGAATCAAACCAACCAACCAGCTATGAGATGAATCACAACACTGAACTTTGATTTTAATTTTTTATCATTTTAATGTTAAATTGACACAAAAAGACACTGTGTACTTCCCGGCTTTAGTGAGGGAAAGAACTACAATCCCGTGAAGCTTTGCGAATGACAATCAAATTAAAAGCAATAGTGCATTATAAAATATGGAGATGATTATATCTCTAAAAAAATACATTGTTTATTGCAAAATATGCGGAAGACCAACTTCATGGGAGAGGGCCTTCCCAGCAAGCTCTTTTGGCACACATTTTCTACACAGCATCATGGGTAATGCAGTTTTTCATCACAAATTCTGCAGTTAAACAGGACTATTTAAAAAAAAAGTTACAATCTGAACATGGCTTCAGCAGAAGTATATACCATCAATAAATGACCTCGGAGTCTTGTTCATAAGTTATTGTTAAAAATCAGTTTCCCTATGGAGAAAATGAAGTTTTACTTTCGGAACCTGACTGTTGCATTTAGTTCAGCTTAGTCATGTGAATTTCTTTGAAATTTATTTAAATTCTACTTCCTTACATTCAAATTTGAACTGCAATCTGCATCCCGTTTCCTTTGGAATCTATAAGTCGTTCTCAATTCAGTTCTGAACTGTGCACAACTGATGCATCTTTTGAAGGATTTCACAAGCCTTAAGTCTGCGTGGATGGGTCCCTGTCTGCCACTGCAATGCTTCCCCATTCCTCTTTGACAAACCGCTTAAGCTCAGTCTGGTTTCATGGAGATTGTGAGTGGACAGTCCACTCATAAATTCTCAATTGGATTGAGATCTTGGCTTGGCAACTCCTTGACTTCAGCATTGTTTATAAGCATTACTTGTGCAGCTTTGGCTTCATGTTTGGGTCACTGTCCTGGAAAATAAATCATCTCCTGGGGCGCAGGTGTCTCAGACTGCATCAGGTTTTCCTCCCGTGTTTTGCTGCATTGATTTCATCTGCTACACCCCACAATCCTTCCAGGATCTGCCGCAGAACTTCATCACCACGCTTCACGGTCGTGATGGTGCGTTTCTGATGATGCACAGCGACTGGCGAACAGCAAACATGGCATTTAGTTTGATGGCCAAAAGCTCAATTTTGGTCCCATCAGACCGGAGGCTCTTCTTCCAACTGGCTTCAGAGTCTTCCTCATGCCTTCTGGCAAACTGCAGCCGAGATGTCATATGACATTTTCAACGGTGGCTTCTCTGTCACTCTTCCATAAAGCTGTGACCGCTGAAGCACCCAGATCACGGTTGACGTATCCACAGTCTCTCCAATCTCAGCCACTGAAGCTTGTATCTCCTTCATTGGTCATTGGTCTCCAGTGTCCTCTTTGCATGGCCACTCATGTTTTGAGAACATCATTCTTCTCTAGGTATACTGACAGTGGACAGTCTTTCCATTTCATCATTATTGATTGAACTGTACTCCAAGGGCAAGAACTAATCAATGACTTGTATCCAATCGTTGCCTTGTGCTTTTCAATTATTTTTTCTTTCAGGTTCTACCACAAAACTGACCTTCCATATAGAGGTGTATTTATATTAGAATCAATTGAAACCCTCTGATGATGTACAAATGACAAGCATTTTAGGTGACCTCAAAAGTCAATTGCTTCCACTAGTGACGATATAGATCATATTAAAAGGCTTAATACTTGAATACTAATACTTTAAATCAGTTATTTTAGATATGTAATTATTTACATAATTTTGTATACAATGAAGTATTATTTATATGCTATAGCATTTATTATTTTGATTTAGCTTTTATTTTCAATTTTCATTTAAATTTGAGCTTATTTTAGTAATTTTGTGCTGTCATATATATATATATATATACACACACACACAGCCGGGCAAATTACGAATTAACAATAACACTGTTACCCCCATTTTTCCAAGAAACAGTACATAACATGGAGACAAACAAACTGAATCAAATTAAGATAACAGAAAAATTACAATATTAACTTCAATGATCTTGAACTCAATGCAGACAGTATTGAACATTTTCCAAAGACGTTCAATATTTTGTACTCCAAACAGCATTCCAGGTCTGCAATTTTATTAACATTTTAGAAATGACAATGCATTGGATGGCTAATTGCTGAGAAAATATATCATTACATATGGCTTAGTACTCCAAAGATTGACAATAATCCATCAAATCTATATTTCAGCCATGTTGAGCTTTTAAGATTGTACCATAGGAGTCTCAAATGGCTTGGTCCCATTGGGTTGCAGTTTTCCTCCATTATTAACAGATAAACAAGTACCCATATACCAGATTGTTGTGTTTATCAAATAGCTAAACAACTATTGTTTAAGTATTTCTTCAACCAGTCTTTAGAAATCAGACAAAAGAGAAAAAACTGCTGAAATCCTAAATTAGGTGAATATGATTAAAAAATGTATGCGGTTAAACGTATGCAATTAACCTCATAAATGAACACATTAACATGAATGCCCTACTCTCAACCCTAACAAATATGACCACTCATGGACTTCATTAATTTATTAAGCAATTTATAGAAATAATGGCTGAGCAGCACTTACATTCAATATATCGTTACCCAAACTATTCATAAACATACTATGCTACTTTATTTTGATAAGTCCTAACTGCTAATCTGTGAATGTATTTGCGCATTTTTGGTCTTCCTTGTAAATTAATGCTTAAACTATTCAACTATATAATTGATTCTTTAATTTCAAGTCGACAAAAAGAATGAACTTGAGCATGACTGATATCAAGGTTTTTTTATTATTGAAGTAAAAGCTCCTTTCCAGAATAAACAGGGACTTTTCTACTCAATAACATAGCAGGAAGTTCTCAATGTCGATAAGGAATGTCAACATCCACATGAATGCTCATGCAAAAACAGTTGATGGTGTTTATCCCTGTTAAGCATTTGCTCCCAACCAAATCCTTAGTGCCTAGAGTGACCAATTAAACAATATGCTTTCACCAGGTGCCAAAACACGTGGCGGAGCCGGGAGCAAAGAGTTATAAAAAATAATTATATTTTGACGACAAATCAAAACAGAAAACGAAACAGACACAAAACCTAAAGTAGATGTGTGACGATGTACAACTTCAGAAGCATTGCACAGCGCATATTGAATTCAAAACGTACAGTCCTTCCACCGCTGCGCAGGTTCAGTATTGAGAGTACTCCTTGGTTTGAAGTTTAGCGACGATGCGCTCCAGTTGCCTCTTAGCCTCGCATTGAGGGAAGTTGCTCATTTCGTAGTATCCTGGAGCGATTTTCACAAGCCTGAAGGATGAGAAGATACGCACAATGTTTGCTTGTTTTTTTCTTTCTTTGTTGCAGAAGCATTTGCCAACAATGAACAAACAAATTCAAAGCATTTGCATGTTTTATCTTACCATTCGGGTTTGATATCAGTGCAGGTGCGGATGTAGTTCTTGGTGGTCAGCACAAACTCGTTATAGAGAACCCACTCGGGCTTGTGGTCCAGTACGGTGGAAGGGTGCAACTGGACCACCTGGTTGTCCTTCACTGTGAGATAGTGGCCGGTGCGCTCCAGGTGAGCAACCTGATAACACCAGAGACGCAAATTAACGAATAAATCAACCAATCGCACACACTGCTGTTTCTTCCGGCGGCGTAAGGATGTCGAGATTAACCTGGGCAATCAGTCTCAATAAACGGCTGACTCAAACAGAGACGTCGGCAATAGAGCGCCCGGTAATTCGTACACTAAGGCACAAATTTGTCTCACCGTAAAGGTTAATGTTGACAAACATTTCAATATTAATGGAGTAATTCAACTAGTCAGGTCACTTGTTTCAGGAACCCCCTCACAGAGAGCGACTCGATTAAAAACGTCATTTATTTTCGCTACGCCGGACAAAAATTGCCTTGATTTCTTGTATGCGTTTAAACGGTCACACTTTGATAGAAAGCCATGCATTACATTAGCAAGCTCCAGTGGTTTTGTCTTCTCAACAGACACAATAACTTTTAATTCAGATGGAGGAGAGTAAAGGGAGAAATCAAGCTCAACTTTAAAACTAGATGTATTTTAGTTTAGGATTGATTTAAGTAATAAGTATTTTAAGTAAAATGCAGTGGACTAACAATTAACTAACACCTTTAAGTGATATGATCACTCAAGTTTATGTTTTATTATATTCATGGCTGAAGGGTGTTACTGTCTTGACAACCCTTTGGCTGTGACTGTGATTGAAAGAAAACGTCTGAAAGTAACACTGAATAAAACACGAAATTATGAAGTAGAAAGACGGAAATAGTATTTTCTTGTAAAACGTACTCAAAAATAATTATTTACACCAGGGTTCCTCAATAGGCGGCCGAGTGAAAAAAGTTTGGCCCGCGTGGATTTCAAATAATGTGGCATGAAAATTCAAACGCAGCATCAGAAAGCTACATTAACTTACATCATGTCTACACCAGATGCGAGCGGCACGGCGCTATGCAATAAAGTACAATAGAACTCGTTATAATCTTGGATGCCGCGCAGCGACAAATCCCCGACAGTAAACTGCTGACTCGTACTATTTATAATGTGCTGACATGACGTTCCAAAGATTTGCAATGCTTTGTCGTTTCCAGTGTAGATACGATGTGACAGCACAAACATGGCGACTGTGTAGAAAAGAAAAGTGGACATGGAAAATAGATGATTCAAATGTGAATGGACTGAACAGTTATGAGTGAGTGACTGATATCTTTGTTATGGAATACACGTGTTGGTTCGCAGTGAGTTCACAGTTTTAACGTACAATTTATTTTCAAGTTCTGAGGTAAAATATCTATTGTTGCTTTCACTATGGCTATAAAGATAACGCAAAATAATATTCAAACTCACATTAGACACACTTAACATTGAATAAAGCACATAATCATTACCTGAGATTATCACTGTCATATTTCGCATGTTGTTCCTGCTGCGACGTCGCAGAAAATAAAAACCGTTCCTAAAATAGAATCCCATGTCGCTTATTGTAGTGTCGCGGGTGGTTGGAACAAAAACTAGGCCTACATGGAAAAGATACTTTTTATCGCGTTGTGTCTGGTTGGGACACACGGTGTTAGTTTCTTTCTATATTGTGCATTTGAACTCTTTCCTTGCTATTGATGGAATTTTTCGGCTTTCCGTGTTTTCACTTTTATATGGTAGGAGGCACTATAACATCCTCTGAAAGAGTATTGAATCTCAGGATCAAAACAGGCGAAAAAGCCACAGAAACAAGCAATCGCATATGCAAACAGATGCATATGTAAAATAAGGTGATCAAACATTAAACAGCATAGAAATCAAAACTGCCCAATGTTAGCGAATGAAATGTCGACTTGGGGAGTGGTTTAGCACTGTGAAGCTTTGGGGCTGTTGATGGAAGCGATCGACTCCATTTGTTTTGATCATCGATCGCAATCCCAACCGGACATAGTCTTTGATAAAAACGCTATTTCTCAGCATTTTTTTTTTTTTAAACTTACATTCAAGTGCTAATAAAAGAGAATGCAAGAAGCCAGAATAAAACTTGTTTTCCTTTCTTTTGACAATGCATCTTCAGATATTCATACAACAAAATATTCTGTGGGCCATGAAAATGTTTGCTGGCGGGGAAAGAGCTAATACAGCTGGATCACTAACATTGACCAATCAGCAAAATATATTGTTCAAATACATTGGTGTGTTGCACGTGTTCACTTTTACTTAAGTGTATTGAAAAATATTGGTGATATTTTGTGCCCCTAAATGCCTGGCGTTGCATTTTTGCAACATTTTTCCAAGTTATCCCTCAACACAAACTCTGCTAAAACAAAATAGTTTTTATAACCAAAGGCATCCTAAAGGCATGTTTTAAAGAGTGAAAAAAATACATCAAGAATATAACATGCTTTTGTCCCTGGAGGTTAACTGTAAACGCTTGTTTCTGCTAATTAATCATTAAAATCTATTGGTTACAACTCTGAACTTTACTGTCAACGTTTTTGAATATAACCGGCAGCCCAGAGATCCCATCTCTATTAACTTATCTATGCGCCAATAATATAGACTTTTTTTTTTCTATAGCAGCTTTCAAAAAGAAAGATGTTAATCTGCCATATTGTGCATCACTAACATTGTGACTTTTTGTTTGTACTAACAAATTAAAATGCTGTAACATGAATCGTGTCAGCTTCACATAAACATCAACCTCCTCTCTTGACTGTTAGCATGCTTCATATAAGCGAGGTGCGAGAAACCCCATGGGAGTTTGGGAGAAAATATGGAAGCTGATGTGACGAATGAACTGCACGCAAACAGTTTTAATAGCGCATTGCCTCGCAGGCACCGATTTTGATGAAACAAATTACGATTTTTGGCCACCTACAAAAACAACCTAAAATTAGTTGTAATAGATTTAGGCAATTAGGCTAATTAAAAACGGGTGGAGGGAATCATCTCACATGAGCACAAGATGCTAGTGTGTGTGTCATGTATACGTACTCTGTTTGAAGGCGTGGTAGACGTTGAGCAAGGTCAGGTGGTCCCCGTCGATGTGGGCGAACCTCATTTTGGACTCGTCGGCTGCCTTCTTAGCTTCGGTGGGCCGCACAAAGCACTGTGGGACTAAACAAGGTTGGTATGGGCCCCAACATAGCCGCCCATAGGGATGAGTCAAGCGTTCACCCAGACAGGACATAAGGCCTAGTTCTGAGGCTAGAGCACAGCACAGGGTACGCTACACCAAATGGTAGGACGGGGTGGGGGGAGAGATGCTTCTCTCGGCTTTTGATTTGCCTGTCTGCGGGAGAGAGATTGCGGCTGTGCAAATTAAGTTAAACCTGGGGTCTGATATTCTTCTGGGAGTCACTCGACACAGTCGAACCTGACTCACGTTACTTGGGTACATTCACAAAACATGCTGGCTACATGCACTCAAAAAATATTTAGGCCTCAATTTAGGATTAATGCATTTGAATTGCATATACAATTTCCATTCATCTGAATTGCACGGCTTTGGTGTGTTGAAGGAAGCTGGGAAGTCGTAATCCGTTCGTTAAGTCATGCCATAAGGAATGCGGTTTCCGGGTCCAAGCCTCTACTCAGTACTCCTATTGAGATATTCTCAAATAAAATATTTATTCAAATTACACATTTGAGCTAAGCATTTAAAAACGCACGGTGTACACTACAGTCTTCAAGCTCATGGCGTCCCAGACACCAATATTTTAACGATTTATAAAAGAGGAATCAGCGAATCACTGACTGGCCATCTGGGATTTCAGTATGGATTATATTTTTTCAGTAGTATTGCATCACATCGTGAGTGTATATTAGCACCATTTGTTGTTTTCTTGTGGCATGTGATCGAGCGCTTGGACCCGGAAGCAGTGACGCGTGACGTCAGAGATAAGAAGCGGATTATGACGCCTGGTGCGTTCAAGTAATTCGGTCTGCACAAGATAGCGATGAACCTTTTCTACAAAAATCAGCAAGATTTTTAAACATAAAATGATGAATAAACAATGTGCATCAGTGCGTTTCAGTTTTTTTGTGATTTTATTCAATTGATGAAGGCTCTGTATTATTTATTTATTAATGCCATGTCAGCAGCAAGGCAATCTTCATGGCGAAACAGAAATAAAAGTCAATCAATTAACAAGCAGCAATATGAGACATTAAGGTTAAAAAATCAAACATTCAGGCGATACTTTAAATACATCAGTTATCTCTGAACAAAAATGTTATGTTATGAAGGTGTTGTAATTTTAATCTTTTATACGGTCTAATTATACAATACGGTCATATTATGTACAATTGCAATTTGGATAGTTTTATACAGTACTAAATATATACAAATTATTTTATTTATTTCAAGTTTGTCAATGCAGATGTGGCATCCATTGCATCCGACATGTTTTCTCACTGACACACTCTTCGATGGCTTTCGTGTTGGTTTAACTCAAATACAATATTTCCGATGTGACTTGAACGCACCATTTTAACAATCAAATAAAATTACTGATGCATATTTGCCAGTCAGACAAATGAACTGGGTAAAAAACAGGTCAGATTTCTGCACTCAAATTATGGCATAGTTTCTTATGATTCTTTAAATATAAATCAAACACATGCAAATAGTTAATATTTATTTTCAAAATGTGTTTTGTTCAAAATCAGATTTGTGTTTATTCAAATTGCTTAGAATCACCTGAAAACTTATACATTTAGTTCAGTTAAAAATGTACAAACATTGTTAAAATTTGGCTAGCTGTTGAACAAGCGATATTCAATTAGCTGAAATGTAGGAGATTGAAACAATTTGGATTTATTGATAATAAATATATAGATACAGTTATTGTGCATCACATACATTTTTCTAGTTTTAAACTTTAAAGTAGATAGAAATTCTACATGCAATTCAAAAACATAAATCTTAAATTTAGACCTAAATACTTTTTCAGTGTAATTAGGAATAAGTTAATGATTTTAGTATATATTCGTTTTGATCTGAAGTCTAACATTGTTTGAAGGTTTACTCGGGCCAGATCAGAACTGATGGACAAAGCCTGAACCTCTAAAGCGCTAGTAAGCAGCCCTATCCTATGTCCTTCTCTCCCCCACCCCCCTGCATCTGTCATTTAATAGCTTCAAGAAGAGGTCGACCGATTGATCGGTTTTGGCGATTAATCCACACCGATGATTGCCGGAACTATCGGCTAAAGTTGATAAAAGCTGTAGAAGTATTGATCCTTGTTAGAGTGTGTTAATTTCAACATTTACTAATACATTTTTACATTTTAAAGTTGCTTCTGTTAACATTCATGAAGTACGAACTAACTTTAATGATCAATATAAAATTTATATTAATATTTGTATTAATTTACAAAGTATGGTTCAGTTTTTGCTCAGTGTCTATTTTCCTCATATCCATATTAAAAACCTACCTAGCTATCGGTATTGGTAAAATCAACTACCGGTCGACCTCTAGCTTCAAGCACCATTCTGATTTGGCAGTCTTACAGTGTTTGGACTGTTTGTGAGCACTTCCTTTGAGAGTCATGCTACATAACGCTTCAGCCAAGCAGCTAAATGCATAAGCAGACTGTTTGACTATGCAACCATTATTATTAACTGAGTTGGCAAATCAAAATTATGCACGTTGACAATAAAACAGAAGACTAACATTTTTTGCTCTGCTTATTGATGAGTGAGCTACAAAGAATTAATATTTCATAGTCCATTAGGCTACTCTAATTATTATTTGATCATATGCAGGGGTCGTGCGTACGTGAGCATATACTACCTGATAGCATTGCGGTGATGGAGAGGATCTCATTGGAGCAGTTGAAGTCGCAGCTGGCGATGACCATCTTGGCCAGCTGGGGGTCGAGAGGGAACTCAGCCATCATGGAGCCCAGCTCCGTCAGGTCACCGTCGTCATTCAGCGCCACCAGATAGTTCAACAGCTCCAGGGCTCGCATCAGGGTCTCAGGAGCTAGCAGAAAAAAAATATTCTATTATAATACATTTTTTGTTTTGCACACGCAGTCATATTTTAGTATGTAGTAGTCACGACGCATGAAAATGGCAAAAACTGCACAAAAATTGCAGAGGAAATTCAAAATGTCTGATTGCTGTTGCATTTAGGGCTTCGCCCCAAGATACTTTTTTTATTGGGGCGTTACATGTCTGTACCGTATTTCGCACAAGTACGCGAAATGTAGCAAGAGGGGCGCTTCATTAAAATTTTGTAGGTGGTGCTATCAAGCCATTTTGCCACACCTAATTCTGAAACCAATATCAGATGTACATTTTCACCAGTTCTGAGGCGTGTGCAAAGTTTCATGAGTTTTTGAGCATGTTTAGGCCCTCAAAATCGCGATGTATTTCTGAGAAGGAGAATAATTGATTTTTGCAAGGTATAGACCAGGAGGTGGCCAAACTCGGTCCTGGAGGGCCGGTGTCCATAAGAGTTCAGCTCCAACCACAATTAAACACACCTGAACCAGATAATCAAGCTCTCACTTGGCATACTAGAAACTTAAAGGCAGGTGTGTTGAGGCAAGTTGGAGCTAAACTCTGCAGGACACCGGCCCTCCAGGACCGAGTTTGGGCACCCCTGGTATAGACTATACATATATCATACACTAAGTGGTTTTAAGTTTGATTTTTCAAATCTCTAACCAAGCAAGAGAAAAAGTAACCGTGATGATTGCCTTAGATACCTTGTCTAAAAAAAATTTAATAAATAAAATACACATAAGGAAAGCCATTTTCTTGCCGTGAAAACATTGTGGCTGTGGTCTCCTGGACAACAACTAACTTTTAATTCAAGACAAAGGGGGCTAATTTTCATCTGACATGCAAGCAGTTCCAAACAGCAGTGCCACTAATTCAATTACAGGGAGGAACCTCTACTTAATGCATCAACACTGGTCACACACCAACAAATTCAATTACTGACCTTTGGCTCTAGAGAGTTGGCTCTAATGACCAGTTGCATGTTAACTGAAAATTAGGAGGAGTTTGCTGAATAGGATGAAAGACTGAGGCTGTCTTTATCAATGAGTCAGGAAAACTTCATTTTAAAAAAGTGCAGCGGTCAGTCTGTTATTATGAACGAGTATTGATCTGGTATATCAAACATACATTTTCTATTTGTTTTGAAAGGATGTTGCATTACTCGTGCTAAAGCAAGTAATACGTTTGAGGCAAAAATTAAGTATAGGTGCCATGCAGTGAACCCGGCTGGAAAAAGTAATTTACACAAATCAGAAATAAACTATAGCAGGGAACATGCCGAAGGGTTAACTGAAGGCAAAATCAATGAGAGAGAAAGCTAAAGGTGATTTAAAGAGAGGAAAGTATAAGTAAGCATTTGGCAAATGGCTTCTATCGGTTTCATCCAGCAATACAAATCCCTGCTGTTTTTTTCATTTGTGTGTCTGCATCTAAACTCATGCTTACTGAACACAGTTCAACAAATGCATAAGCTATGGAATACTGGGAATGGAAAACTTCAATTAAAAGCCTATATTATTTACAGTATATTTGTTTGCATCATCAAAAATGTTTACAATCCTATATTTATTATACGATTAATCGTTTTTGTTTAAAGTTTTTGTTTACAGAATATGCATGTATACTGTGTATATTTATTATGTATATATAAATACAAACACATGCATGTATATATTTAAGAAAAATATGTTGTTTATATTACATATATTTATATATAATATAAAATATAAGAATATAAATATATAAATGTATATACACGTGTAAATATTTTCAAAATATATACTGCATGTGGATGTGTATATTTATATATACATAAATATAAACAGCAAAAAAACTTTTATTTTGGATGCGATTAATCGTTTGTCAGCACTATTTATTATCTTTTTTCCCTTGCATATTTATTTTGTGTGTATTTATATTATTAAACTACATTTAAATTTTTATTTAAATTTCTCAAATCTACTTTGCAGCATTGGCTGTCTGGTTTTAAGGGCCCTATGAATTTGGTGGGGCAATCACCCTTTTAAGATATTTCAGAACAAATGCATTAATAACGATACTGAATACGGTCTCGGTTTCATATTACCCAGCTATACATTTACTTAGGTAGTCAAATGCAGCGGTATGTTAGGAAGCAGAAAGCTTAAACATTTTTAGGGCAACTTTAGAGATCATTTAAGGTCATGAACCTTTTAGAAAAGATGATGAGCCAATCACATGGAAACGTTCCAGTCGTTACTATTCAGCGATTACAGGTCTGGCCATCATGCAGTTTTAATGAATCTCTACATCAGTCTTCATACTGCATAAAAGCAATTACACGATCAAAGCAAAGCTGGACTCTGAAATATCTGTCAGTTTAGAAAAGGCAGTGTCCAGCTGCTTTTTACCCAAGCTGCACCAGATACTCTGAAATGACCTGGACAAAGTATGCAAAACACTTAAAGAGCCAAATCGATTGACGTTTCTGAAGAAAATGTGAGTGCCAAGCATTTTTTTTAAATGTACTTCAACCCTCAGAACATCTTGGTATTTTTACAGAAATTTAGCAAATGGCTGCAATATAACACAGAGTGAAAAATTTAAGGGGGTCTGAATACTTTCCGTACCCACTGTATATAAAACACATTTTTAACTATAACACATATATAACAAAATTTGTCCCAATTCAAATTAAACTATGCCCTGAAAGTATGTTCTCTTTTTGTGAAGAAAAACTATATACTTTTGAGTGTGTGCCAGAAGAGTTGGCAAGATTCGGGACATACTACTACGCCATAACTGCTTTAATTAAATGTTCTGTTGCTTGGTTACGAGCATTCCGTCACCTGTCAATCATCTTGTCAGAGTTAACATCCTCAACATTTAGTTCCATTTAATTTCCTACCGTATCGGAGAGAAATGAAGAGGCACATTGATCTGCCAGTCACGGGTCCTTCATGCCGAGAACTCTCTTCAAGTAAATTATGCATTTAAAAGTTAATGACTAGTACGTTGAGGAAAAGTAAACCCCCCGAAATTTTAATTCCCAAAGAAATGGGATAAACTTTCACCGACGAGAATGTGTTTTTAATATGTATTAACTCAATATTAACCATATTAAACCGTCTGTGTCGTCGCAACACATCCAACTAAGCTGAATTCATGTTACCGTAAGTCTTCAACCATTTGCGCCATGAAAACAACTCAAATTGCATTTCTCAACAATATACAGCTTATTACAGTAATGTCCTGATTTCCCTTAGCAAACCACACAGCAGCTTTCGGGAAGCGTGAAAAGGAAGAATTTGAACGGAGAAAGACAGAACGCAACAGGTTAGAGAGTCTGAACAGCAAAATATCATTACAAAAACATGGCGAAGAATGAGTATACAGCAGAAGAGGCGATTGTGATGATTTTTGATGTGACACGGGAGGAAGAAGACTTTTCAGATCGACATCTTGGTGCGCCATGAAAACAACTCAAATTGCATTTCTCAACAATATACAGCTTATTACAGTAATGTCCTGATTTCCCTTAGCAAACCACACAGCAGCTTTCGGGAAGCGTGAAAAGGAAGAATTTGAACGGAGAAAGACAGAACGCAACAGGTTAGAGAGTCTGAACAGCAAAATATCATTACAAAAACATGGCGAAGAATGAGTATACAGCAGAAGAGGCGATTGTGATGATTTTTGATGTGACATGGGAGGAAGAAGCGGGACTTTTCAGATCGACATCTTGGCATGCGGTGTGTCAGTGTATGCGTATTTGCATGTGGGAATTTGTATACGTGCATGTGCGTATGTGCTAAAAATATCTCGAGTGAAAACTGTGAAACCCCGTGTCACAAAAAAGACTTGTATATACGTATTATAGTCCAGTTTTCAAGTTTGAAATATTAGATTCTTTCGTTCATGTGTTTTCAGATTTTTTCTAAATAAGTAAAATTTTATTCCAATTTTTTTTTTACTTTTACTGTTTTTTAAATGCGTTTTAATTCTATTTACAAACAGTCAACACAATAATGGTCAAAAATGGTAATTTAAGGAAAGCTAATTGTTTTCTGAAAAAAAAGGGCACCTCGCACTTGAAGACAGCATACGGTTTTAGAATTTTACAGTCAAAAAATTTAAATACGCAAAAATGACCTATTGTACCTTCAGGTTCTAAAGGGTTAAACTAGGCCTGGGCGATAAAACGTATCGATATTTATCGACGGTACACCATCTTCGATATCGATAGAAAAATTGTTCGATATAGCGCACCATATAGGCACGTACTATAAGTGACGCAGACAGCACACACAAACACGAACACATGCTGAAATGAGCGCAGTGCCTGTGATGAGGAGATTGTGAATAAAGAATGAATATTAGTCTAATTTAAAATAAACATTTGCATTTGAATGTTAGGAGTACGTCAGGAAGCGTCATCAGTGGCGTGCGAGATGCGGTGATAATGATGTAAGTGACGCTGTTGCATTTTAATGTTTTGTTAGTCTAGCCCACGAGATGCGCCGCTGCTGCATTATTCATTCAAAATATTAGAGAAGTATAGAAGCTCAATGCGGAGAAGATCTTGAATGGGTTAAAACCGAAACCAAGCCATTCACACAGAACGCATATTCAGCGCATTTTTTAGACGGACAAATATGACTGCTGCACTCGCGTCACACACAAGAGATGTATAGAAAGCCATGCAAATTTAAAACAGTTTAAACTTTTAGAAAACACGTCACAAATTTGTGGAGGTTTATTCCTTTTCACTGCATCTCATATGTTTTTAAATGCAGTCTGTGTGAATGGAGCTTAGGCTCTTTGGATTAAGCAATGCATAAATACATGATGCTGTTTTGTTCATAATTGTTTATGCAATTGTTTATGCGAGTTAATTTAGACGTAATGCACATTTTTATAGAGTTGACAATTTAAATGCGCTGCATTATTTTGCTCATTGCGCCCTCGGGAGACAATTAGACCTATACAATAAAGACCTATTTAATCTGCATATAAAACATTAGAAATTAGATGTTTAATTTTTATTGTTTGATTGTTAAAACAAAAAATATTTGTTGTTTGTCTCAATAAATTGTGTTAATTATAAATAGTGATTAAATAAAAAAAAATAAAAAATCTATTGCTTTGTTTTAAAAAAAGGTTATAAAAAAAATGTCAATAATTATCGATACCGAACGATATGAAACAATATCGTTGATACATTTTTTAGCTATATCTCCCAGCCCTAGGTTAAACCTTGGTAAGTTTTAATATTGTGCTACCTAACAGCTTAATCTTGTTGTATTGTGTTAGCTTAGCAAAAACATAAGTCTACTGCAGATATAGATATTCATACATGCATATAACTATGTTGCAGACACACAGTCAGCTTGCTCTCGAGTGTTAACGGACCTGCTTTGACCATTCTAATATGGCAGATGGCTTAGATATAGCAGCCCACAGAAACAGCCGCTATGCTTTTAGCATGTTGCTGTAGTTTTCTGATTGGTTTTCAAGTATACTGCTATAAAAGTGCTAATATATACCCCATTTTATAGTCTCTAAAGAAGCCTGGAAGTATTCGTCAAACTCAAGAAAACTTCAATACCTGGTGGGTCCATGAAGTCAAAGTGCACTAGGTCATCGATTCTTAGCAAAAACATAAGTCTACTGCAGATATAGATATTCATACATGCATATAACTATGTTGCAGACACACAGTCAGCTTGCTCTCGAGTGTTAACGGACCTGCTTTGACCATTCTAATATGGCAGATGGCTTAGATATAGCAGCCCACAGAAACAGCCGCTATGCTTTTAGCATGTTGCTGTAGTTTTCTGATTGGTTTTCAAGTATACTGCTATAAAAGTGCTAATATATACCCCATTTTATAGTCTCTAAAGAAGCATTCGTCAAACTCAAGAAAACTTCAATACCTGGTGGGTCCATGAAGTCAAAGTGCACTAGGTCATCGATACCGAGCTTCTTGAGCTGTAGCACCACAGAGCCCAAATTCGACCTGAGAATCTCAGGGTATGTGTTATCCTGAAGGAAAACAAATTAGCAGATTAAATTTACATGGAAATGTAAATTTCCCATGTTGTATGCACAAAAAGGGGGCTAGAAGTGACCAGAAGTACTAAAGACTTGAAGGAACCAGGGTCATCTGCTAATCGACCAAAACACGATCCAAACAATTTCACCGGCGTATAATAAAATCAGAACAAGTGCACTTCCCAGATGCCTGCAGCCGCTATGAATGTTTTCACAAACCTGCATCTCAGTCTTGTAGGCCTTCTCGGTGTAGAGCCGGAAGCACTTTCCTGGGCGCGTACGTCCAGCACGGCCGGCTCTCTGCTGGGCCGAAGCCTTACTAATAGCCGTTACGAGCAGTGACTCAACTCGAATGCGAGGGTTATACACCTGTGCGACGAAAAGGAAAGAGCTGTGTGAATAATAAATGCACACCATTGCACCACAGCAATATGCCAAAGCGAGGCCATCCTTCATCTCTGACTGGACTACATGTATGACAGCAGCAGCTGGGCTAGGGAAATGTCAGCAGAATAAATAACTAGCTTTTCCATCTCGAGTCGCTGTCAGAGCCCCGCCACTGGGTTTATCTGGGGATTTCAGAGGCAAGAGAAACAGATGATGGGGTGAGATTAGACAAGTGAGGCAGAGGAGAGGACTAACCTTTTGCTTGGCAAAGCCAGGATCAATTACAAACACCACGCCATCGATGGTGAGGGATGTCTCAGCGATGTTTGTAGAAACCACAACCTATGAGAGAAGAAACAATATGATCAAGAGATCCAACTGGCCAGACAGCTTTTATCACACACAAAAACATTTTTTTTTAAAACACAAAAAAACATTCACACAATGTAAGAAAATCATTCATAATTAATAGATTCTCCCTAATTCTTCTTTTTTGGATTCCCAAACATTTTTGTCAGTCAAAACCACTTTGACGTGAAATATTTTCTAACACCACATTTGCATGTTTACAATTTGATATGTCGCTGAATGGTCACATTGACATGCAGGTAAACAAATTAGAAATTTCTATTTATAGCATTTAATTAATGATTAACATTTTATCAACTCACAAACCCACTGCAGACCTTTTTTATATTAAGCCCAGTTTGGGAAACCTGGTTTAATGTAGCGTTTAACGCATTTTATGATGTGGAAATATTTTTTTTATATATATATATATTTGCTTTCTTTTTGATTTTTTATATCAATATGGTACGTTCAATGGTAAGTTTAAAACAAGTTAGATTAACATTTTATCAACTCACAAACCCACTGCAGACCTTTTTTATATTAAGCCCAGTTTGGGAAACCTGGTTTAATGTAGCGTTTAACGCATTTTATGATGTGGAAATATTTTTTTTATATATATATATATATATATTTGCTTTCTTTTTGATTTTTTATATCAATATGGTACGTTCAATGGTAAGTTTAAAACAAGTTAGATAAAAAGTCATCTAAAAAGTAGTCAGAATACATTACCTAAAATGAGTAACCTAGATTCCGTTACCAACAACAGTTTTTATCATGTAATGTGTAGTAACGGATTAAGATGAATAAGTAATCTCTGGTTGCCATCTTGTGGAACAACCGATTAGTGCAAAACAAATTAAATGTGCATGTGCGACACGTGTATACAAAGTATGCACAGTTACAAAAATCGGAATTTGAAAATCGAAAATACAGAGTTACGAAATTTGCATCACACACACTTTACACAGACCCTCGCGTACACTTTGGGATTTAAATATTTTTCCTTTTTTACACATGGCTCAAGTAAATTTTTTTCTGCCACACTTCAAAATTGTCTGAAGAATAATTTCACTTTACCCAAGTTGCACAATTTGAGACATCATTCATGCCAGTTGCACAAGTGGTGGAGGAACTCACTGCATGTTTTCCATGTCTCCTTAATCAATCATACCTGATTCAGATCATCAGCTCATTAGTAGAGACTCCGAGACCTGAAATGGGTGTGTCAGACAAAAGAGAGACGCAAAATGTGCAGTGTTGGGGGGGGCGGGGGACTTTGCTACAGGAACGTGGTTGGGAACCACTGCTCTACACCAGCAGGGTGGCTTTTTTTAGTACATTTCATTGGCGATTAGACAGTTCTGCACTGCTCTAGGCAATCAAAAAATAGAATTAAAGACTCCGAGACCTGAAATGGGTGTGTCAGACAAAAGAGAGACGCAAAATGTGCAGTGTTGGGGGGGGGCGGGGGACTTTGCTACAGGAACGTGGTTGGGAACCACTGCTCTACACCAGCAGGGTGGCTTTTTTTAGTACATTTCATTGGCGATTAGACAGTTCTGCACTGCTCTAGGCAATCAAAAAATCGAATTAATAGGAAAAAAAGTTCTGTGGTAACTGAAGAGGGGTGAAAAAAAGCGAAAATATCAGTGGGAATTAAATCCTTAAAGACACTTCAGTGAGCTGTCGCAAGCTGGAAGACTAATACAACCCAACAGGGGAGTAAAGCAACAGTTGCTGCAATCAAGTCAAATCGGGAGTGTGCTGGCTGAGCCGGACTGCTTTCCGCAGAGCGACCCGTCCAGACACATTACTACTGCTCTTTTTGGCGGCAAGATACATGTCTGTGCACAGCATGCAGCCATCTTCCCCTCCCTAGAGAAGCCCACCTCTAAGAAACTCTATTATTCATGCCACGTCTCGCTCCTTCACTCTCTCTCTGTCCCTTTACAGTACAGGTGGCCTTCATCATGTGTGCTATAGTGACATATTGAATCATCTTTGAGCTAGAGACCATGGACCGCCTTTGATATGCTGAGATGACAGTGTCCAAGAAGCTTCGGAAGAGCTTTATAACACTGCATAGGTACGGCTTGCTTACTCGCCCGAGTCAAAAGAGCCAAATGGTGTTCATGAATCACAGGATGGAAAATGTCAGTCCGAGTAAAGTCAAAAGTAGGACGGAGTCTCTCGATAATTTAAGGGTTTGCTTTGTGTAGTGTCCCAGAAAAACCTGGAGTTTTAGCTGGATGCCATCGATGGATAGCAAACGGTGAAGTTGTGAGGCACACATTCACAGATAACATTACTTTTGAATGCGATAAAGTTGATGTAGCGGAAACAGCTACATTTATCTTCTCCATTGTGATGTACATCCCATTAAAACGGGAAAAAATGTAGGGCGAGGACTTGGTTCTATACATCGGTTGTTGTTTGGATGGAGGCAGATCTGATTGTCAACCTGCCTGCAGTCAACTGTAATAAGGAGATGGAGCTTAAATGAACTAAATGACTGGAGAAGTCTGGCCTACGTCAACAAAGAGAAGACTGTCGCTTCAATGGAAGATTGAGTTATGACAATTTTGATTAAAAAAAATATGTTAAAAGACTGACAAATGCATGGATGAATCATTCAATAAGATTAGGGTTGGGGTGATGCTCGCTGTGATTTCCGGCCTCTGCGTCTCACTATATGACGGCATGAACACAAAAACGTAATCTCCAGAGCTGCTGTGAGAGTCACTTCGTGAGAATTGTACCGTTTCATTTGAGAAAACTAGCATCATCATACTGTATACACACAGAAACTTCATGGCAACCTGTCAAAATAAAAGTACGGTTTAAAATGTAACAGAAATATATTACTCTTGTATTACTTTTGTAAAGTATAATGTACATCTTTAAATATTCAATTTTCTATCAAATTTAAATAAAACAATTAAATGATAAAAATAAATATTACAACCAGATTAATCACTTAATTGTAGAAAAAAATTATACAATTATTAGCCTATTAAAACAATGTTTTAAAGAATTATTCACACAATTTTTCTTCCATGTATTAATTTCAACAGTAAACCTAAATTTGTTTGCCAAAAAATAAATGGGTTTAATTTTCATTTGATTTAAAATAAATGTTTAATGCCTTCATTTGATTTTCAGAAAAATTAAAAAGAATTTCTATTGTTCAAAATGTTGAAATTGAGACTTTTTGACTTATTTTTTCACTGAAATAAATGTTTTTGTAATTACACAGAGTAAAGTACCGAAAAAAGGTACTGTTAGGTACCGATACCAGTACCGTACCGGTTAAAATGGGAACGGTACCCAACCCTAAAAGTGAAAATGGATAGGGTAAATTTCCATTTCATGCCAACTTTAAGTATAAGATATCAATATTAAGTATTATATTCTACAGAAGCTTCCTACATTAATTCTTGACTTAAGATTTGAAAAAGTATCCTAATGGAAATTACCAAGGTAACTAAACGGATAACATTCCAAGTTAGGCAGGCCATGGCCCTTAATAACTTTTCTTAAAAATAAACTTTTCTCAGAAAATAATTTAAATATCTTACAGTAACACACACACAATTTGAGATAATTTATGCCTACAGCAGAAAACAAGCTTAAAGTAAATTCCTAACCCTAAGTGGGAGCAATAGTATTGCAGATGCTTGCTTTGGCAAGCTCCACTAAAAAGTTTTTTTGCAATGTAAATTTTGAGATTCATTTAACATCCTGGCCTCTATTACTAACAGAAAACAAACAAACCTCATATTTCATGTAATTCAGCCTCCTCAAATGCCTTTGAGGCACTTAAATCCTACTTTTATAAGTGGATTTCTCTTCAGCCACAAATGTTTGACTTGGTTTGGTAATGCAGCAGAGGGTCTATTCATGGAGCCTTTGACCTGATGTAATTCAGCTGCTGAAAAGAATCATCTGCCTATATATTCATGGAAAGGCTGGGAGAATTCACTGAAAAAAGGCCATCTGGAGTCTGCTACGACCCAATGCCCACAGAGCATGCTCTTAACAGACCACTGAATGACAACGAGATCCGGAGCGCTTCAGACACACGATAAAAAGAAATGAGGGTTCCTAACCAGTCTGCATACTTTCAGAAAATAGGACCACCTGGGAAAGACCTTTGAGATGAAATGTATTCCAGAGTGGTAGCCATGGAAATTATCGAAAGGTGAGTGCCACTGGAATGAATTGCACAGCAAAAACACTAAATGCATTACCAGTACTTAGTCATACTCATTGAACCGTGAGGTGTTGAGAAATTGCATCTTTTAGGAGGCAATGATCCATGCGCAAGTGGTCTGGAAAAAAGTAGGCGGGCTGACCGAACAAGGCTAATGCCAGCAGCATTTCACTTGAATAAGTGCAATTTCAATTCTCTCCAATGAGTCTCTCATTCAATGTTCCTTTTTCATTTAAAAAAAAAAAACTAGAATGGAGACATACACTACAGGTCACAAGTTTTGAACAATTAAGATTATGTATTTGAAAGAAGTCTCATGCTCACAAAGGATGCATTTATTTGATAAAAAAAAAAAAAAAAAAACTAATATTGTGAAATATTATTACTATTTAAAATAATTGTTTTCTATTTTAATATATTGTCAAATTTAATTTATTCCTTTAAATCAAAGCTGAATTTTCAGCATCATTACTCCAGTCTTCAGTGTCACATCCTTCAGAAATCATTCTAATATGCTGATTTGATGCTCAATTATCTTCAATTATCGTTGGTGCTCAATAATTAATAATAGCTCATATCAATGGTGAAAATTTTTGCTGCGTAATATTTTTGTGGAACAATGTAACATTTTCAGGATTCTTTGATGCAAAGAAATTTCAAAAGAACAGCATTTATATGAAACAAATGTCACTTTTGATCAATTTAGTGTGTCCTTGCTCGATAAAAGGTACTTAAAAAAATCTTACTTCAATTCGAGTGGCAGTGTATTAATGTA